TATTAATGGACCACCTTGAAGCATTCGAGGGTTCCATTAATAAGTGATAAAAAATTATAGAATAAATTATTTTATTATAAACGAGAGAGGGAAGACAGTATTGAAATAATATTTTGACTATATTTGATGTACCCTGTTAATTAGATGAACCAAGGTAAATCGCGCGTATCTCTTCTTTTGTTTTACTGTTGTTATTTGTGTGTCTTTTCCTGTTATTTTGGTTTCGTATATCTCCATTTCGTTAAAAAAATTACGTGAAACAACCTTCATCTCTTAATTGTTTTTGGTTTCCACCTTATCCAGTTCATTTTATTACAAGATCATGTGAACAGTTTAGTTTACTTTCGCCTTAGTACAACAAGAAAGCTTATGATATTGTTTGGTTCTGTAGTGGTAGCCAAATCCTGGCTTAATAGACAAGTGAGATTATCATACAATTTGTCCATTATTTCCTCTCCATAGTGTGAAACTCCGTATGCTTTTGTCTCCAAGCTCAATTGAAAATGACTCCACCACTTCAGCTTCAAATGATCCCTGTGTTGCGATGGAATGTATAATGGCAAATTAAGAGTCCAAATTTTCTTCAGAAATTAGTCCCAGATTAGAGTAAAATAATTAGTTGGCTTTCAACCTCGAGTTGAATGCATTAACTAATTAATTGGTTCAATTTTATTGTGTACAAATAAGGTACGAAAAAATAGAGTGCAAGAGAGATCATCTCTGCTATGGCTTGAGCTATAAGTTCCCAACGGCAGCAGCTCTTTTTACTTGCAGGATCCGCAGAATGCCTTCCCTGGAGTATCAGGAAAACACAACCATTAGGTATCATCTCCCGAGAGCGTGAGTTGAGAAACGAGCAAAAGTGTTGTTGAAATTGAGCAAGATATGCTTCTTTAACAAAAGGTGGTGGGCTTGTTTTAGATATGTAAATCTTTCCTTTGTTGAACGGCAATCTTTCTTCATCAGTATATCTAGTTGTGTGTTCTATAGATAGCCTTCCATGGAATAAGAAGAAAACATGAACACTGGGCATCCTTTCTTCAGAGCGTGACTTGAGAAACAAGCCAAAGGTCTTGTTGAAATTGAGCAAGTTTTTCCTCAGTACTCCAAAATTCTTTGTCTCCAATAGCTCAATTTCAAAGGATCCCTAATTGCCCACTATATCCTTCACTTCTTGTAGTGATGGTACATAATCTGATGCATTAAAAGAGTCTTTAACTTCTCTTAAAAAATCAGTCCCTGTGGGATATATATATATATATAGGTAGATCACAGTCAATAGATTCTATGAATATATGAAGTTTACTCATTTTATTACTGGTTTCCACCTTATTCGGTTACAGATGGATGATGATGAGTTTAATCAGCTTACATACGCCTTAGCACAAGAACAAAGTTTGTGACCTTGTTTGGTTCTTTTTGTGTAGCCAACTATCAGTGAGCTGAGCGTACAATTTTTCAACTATTTCCTCACCAAAGTGGTATGAAACCAGGGACTCTGTGAAAGATCTAATGTCTTTAGCAAGTATTTCCTCATTACTCCAAAATTCCTTGTCTCCAATCTCGATTGGAAATGTCTCCAGGAGCTCAATTTCAAAGGATCCCTCCTTGCCCACTATATCCTTCACTTCTTGTAGCGATGGTACATAATCTGGTGCATCAAATGAGTCTAACTTCTCTTCAGAAATCAGTCCCAGTGGAATAAAACACAAAAAAAGTTAATAAATATATCTATGAAGATTGTTGAAGCTTCAAGGTGGAAGATGAATTGGCCTGAACCTCAATTTGCATGACCAAATATTTATCTCTAAGATGTGAAGACTTTGTAGTTACCTGAGAAACCAATTCAACTATGGCCTCAGTTAAAGGTTCCCAACCGACGCAAGTCTCTTTAGTTGTGTGCTCTTCAGATACCCTTCCATGGAATATCAAGAAGACACGACCATTTTGTATCATCTCTTGAGAACGACACTTGAGAAAAAAGCCAAAATCTTCTTGAAATTGAGCAAGATATGCTTCTTTCACTACAGGAGGGCTTGTGTCAGATATGTACATCTTTCCCTTGTTTAATGGAAACCCTTCTTTGTCCCTAAGTGTTGGTACCTTCCAGTTCATGTAATCAGAACGCTTGAGAAATGATAATAAAAACTTACAACATGCAATAACTAAAATCTGTAAGCAGAGATATATTCATACGCACCTTAGAGAGCCATTGGATAGCGTAGGAGGAATAAATGAGATGCATGGTGTTTTTGGGGAAAAGCCGGCCATGGAAAGAACCAGGACTGCCCATCACAAAGCAATGAAGATCATTATATTTTTCAGTAAAGTTTGACGAATCTCTGAAAAGCGTATTGAAGTCATTCCCGGTTAGATCATTCAAGTAAAACTGAAACTCTGGAATTTGACAATTCAATTCCTCGCATTTGATTTTCACATTCTGTATCACAGTTTCCATCACAGAAAATGTCTGTGATCCCGAAGAACAACCCAAATCCGCTACGTTCAGAACTTGGTATGGGACGAAACCTTTGGAAAATAGAGACTGAACAGCGTTCTCTAACGCAGGCTTGGCCATAGCTGCTACTTTTTGCTGTAATATTGCAAATTAATTGATGATTTTAGTAAGCAAGCTAGCTCCAAAAGAAAATAAAATAAAAGAGCTATTTTCAGAGTTCTGAAGGTAGCTATTTTCTCCGTCTCCTTTGTTCATGCAAAGCAATTCCTCCACCTCAATTGACATTGAGTTCTTTTCCTCTTCAATTAAAAAAATTTTTGTATTTGTGTTGGTGTCTCAACATAGGCTTCCCCTTAGAATTTATCGTGTGATTAATTTGTCCAAGTTATATTTTACAAAAAGTATAATTGTATGAAAAACTTAAGTTATAATAGAGTATAATTTGATATTAATTAAAGGTATTGAGTGCTTTCCAAATCTTCCTCCCTAACCAACGAATATTTATACCATCTTTTATCATCATTTATGCTGCTTTATTTCTATATAAATTTATATTTTTAATTTTTCATAAACCTCTTTTAGATAAAGAGTATTTTTTTTGTGCAATTATAAGTGAAGTCTTTATATCTTATTGGTACCTGAATAATTGAAATTCAACATGCCTGTTGTCGTGTAAGAGTTTACGACAAGCTCGGAATGAGTGGTAGCTTGGAGAAAGCAATGCTCGGTTGGGTATGAACAAGCAATGCTTGACGGAGTGAGCTAACCGGACAATTTTCCTGTAGATCACAAATGAGACTTATCCCCTAGAATCAAGGAGAGAATTTCGACATCTTATCAAGCAAGTCAGTGCGATTACACTTATCATAGGATTAACTTCCTATGTTTAAGCCACAATCCCTAAAATCACTCCACTTACCGTTATTAATTTCAGTGTATAAACAATCCTAAAAAACTCATTGTAAAGGGTCAACAAATTTAGAGAGAGAAAAAGAGGATTATTCTTGTAATCTCTCATATTCAATACAAGAACAATAAACGTAGACTTGGGAGCTAACTTGAGAGTTAGCTCGCCAAACCACTTTAAAAAGAGTTATTGTCTTTTGATATAATCTTCTTTGATGGTTATTTATAATCACTCCATACGCTTTTGTCTCCAATCTCAATCGCAAATGACTCCAGCAGCTCAACGTCAAAGGATCCCTCCCTCTCTACTATATTCTTCATGGCGATGGGAAGTACAATGGCACACTAAAAGAGTCCAACTTTTTCTTCAGAAATTAGTCCCTGATCAGAGTAAAGTAATTAGTTGGCTTTGATTTCACCCTCGAGTTTCATGCATTAACTAATTAATTGGTTCAAGTTTATTGGGTACATATATATAAGATATGAAAAAGTCATGCAAGGACCGAACAAATCATCTCTTTTATGGCCTGAGCAGCTGAGCTAAAAGTTCCCAACGGTAGCAGCTCTCTGTACTTGCAGGATCCGCATGATTCCTTCCGTGGAGTGCCAGTATAACACGACCATCAGGTAGGATCTCCTGAGAGCGTGAGTTGAGAAATAAACCAAAGTCTTGTTGAAACTGAGCAATATATACTTCTTTAAAAGCAGGAGGATAGTTTGTCCAAAATCAAGATATGCTTCTATTTTGATTAAGAAAAAACTTGAAACAGAAAAAATAATGTAACTGAATAAACTGTTCCGTGCCTCATTTTGGTGTTCGAGTTGTCGAACTCTTCATCCAGAGGCATTTGAGGGTCCCGTTGTCCAGTCAGTGGACGGGGCTCTGCTCCTCGGTGAGCGGGTAGGGGTTGCGGGGCAACGCCCCCGAGCCCGTAGACGGTTTGAGCTTTTTTCATGTACAACCGTCGAAAGATTTATTTAATTTATTAATTCCTTATTGGGTTTGAATTTAGGAATATGAATCCTTGTAATATTTGGTTTTAGTCATTTAAACCTAGTATATAAACATACTTTTCTCTTGTAATAAGTGATAGCAAATCATTGGACAAATTACTTCATTGTAAATGAGAGAAATGTGACAGTATTAAAATAATATTGACTTTGTTGGACATAGCCTGTTAATTGCGTGAACCAAAATACATCGCGCGCATCTCTTCTTTTGTTTTATTGTTTATGATTTATGTATTTTTCTATTATTTTGGTTTCAAATATCTGTATTTTGCTCATTTGGACTAACTTTAGCCTAATCAATCTCTTATGTATAAATGAGGCCCATTTATCAGACAAAAAACAGGGAATAATACTACACTAACAACCATCTCTCATAAACTTTCTCTCACAATCCTGACGTGGCAGCTCGCAATTGATTAGTTCACAACGGATCCCACATAAGTCCCACTAATTAATTGCGAGCTGACCAATTGTGAACTGTCACGTCAGGGTTGTGAGAGAAAGTTTGTGAAAAATGGTTGTTGGTATAGTATTACTTAAAAATAAAAGGCACAAAGAATGAAATAATTAACACACACTTCACAGTAATTATTTCCTTTATTCCAATTCATATGATAAGTTTAGCTTACAATCTCCTCAAAACAACAACAAAGCTTATGACCTCGCTAGGTTCTGTACGTGTAGCCAAATCCTGAAGTACTATTTGGGCAAATTTATCATACAATTTGTCAAGTATTTCCTCACCAAAGTGGTGTGAAACCATGGACTCTGTGAAAGATCTCAGGTTTTTAATAAATTTTTCATCGCTACTCCATACGCTTTTGTCTCCCATCTCAATTGGAAATGTCTCCAGGACCTCAAGTTCAAAGGATCCCTCCCTGTCCACTATATTCTTCACTTCTTTTTCCGATGGAATGTAATATGGTACATTAAAAGAGTCTAACTTCTCTTCAGGGATCACTTCCTGAGGAATAAAAATAGAACAAATTTAAACGATATGAAGCCATAATTCAACAGTAAAAATTCTCTTAAGTGGGAGACTTCGAAGTTACCAGAGAAACCATGTCAGCTATGGCCTCAGCTAAAGGTTCCCAGGGCTCTCCATTTGTAGGATCTTCTGATAGTCTTCCATTGATTATCAAGATAACACGACCCTCGCGTATCATCTCATGAGAGCGTGACTTGAGAAACAAGCTGAAGTCTTCTTGAAATTGAGCAAGATACTCTTCTTTAACAGCGGCTGGGCTAGTTTTAGATATGTAAACTTTCCCCTTGTTTAATGGCAACCCTTCTTTGTCCATAAGTCTAGGTACCTATCGTTTAATTAAAAGTAATTAATCATGTAAATCGTAGATAAAACCTCACCACAATTACAGAGATATTAAATATACGCACCTTAGAGAGCCAATGGGCACCGTAGGAGGAATGAACAAGATGCATGGAACTTTTGGGGAAAAGCCGACCATGGAAAGAACCAGGGCATCCCATTACAAAGCAAGGCAGATCATTATACTTTTCAGTAAAGTTAGACAAACCTTTGAAGAGTGTGTTAAAGTCATTCCCTGGTAGATCATTCAAATAAAACTGAAACTCTGGAATTTGATAATTCAATTCCCTGCATTTTCTTTTGACACTCTCTATCACAGTTTCCATCACCAAAAATGTGGTTCGTCCCGAAGAACAACCCAAATCCGCTACGTTCATAACTTGGTATGGGAGGAAACCTTCGGAGAACAGAGACTCAACCACCTTCTCTAGTGCAGGCTTGGACATAGCCACTACTTTTTGCTGTATCGCAAATTAATAACTGCAAGTTCATAGAAAGCCATGGAACCAAAACAAAAGTTAAGAAAATAAATCATACCGTAAATGAACAGTTCTGAAAGAAGCTACTTTCTCCATTTCCTTTGCTCATGAAAAGCATATTCTTCACCTCCATGGTGTCTCTTTCTGTTTCTGGCAGTATCTCCTTTGATTTTTGTACTATATAAACTACATGTACGTGTTTAAATTTATTCCTATTCCATTAAAGGAGAGAAGGAGCTACAAAACAAAAATAACCGCTAATAATTCACTTGAATTGGTCATTGTATCAGACTTCGCAGAGTCCACCGACCCAGTTGTTTTAATTTAATGGGTAGTGGCCATTATTAGGTTCTTACTACGTAAACAAACACATCAGTAGACTTTCAGCTACCTTATTTTATATTCTTCTTTCTTGATCGATCACCAGTAATTCAACAACCCAAGTGTAAGAATAATGGCAATAAAAGAATAAAAAATCAAGAATAAGAATAAATAGCCAAGTTGTCTTCGTTACATGAAGATTCTTGTTTAACCAAAGAAAAATAAAGAACAAGAAACAGAGAAAAGATTCTAGAGAAGACGAGAAAGAATTGTGAATTTCTTCTTCTAATTTTTCTAGCTGAAATCTGTTACAAGGTAGCAATGTTTTTATACATTGAATATAGAGTAAAACGCACCGTTTTCCACTTAAGTTTTATTCTATTACAACACAACCCAGATATTTGTTTTATTACAAACACAACCCATTCTTCTACCTGCGTTCCAATATTCCTTACAAAAGCAAGAAACATCATGCACCATCAAGGAGAAGGTAAACGAACATTTCTCCTAAGCACAAGAATGATGCTTGTGATCTTGTTTGGCTCTGTTTGTCTCGCTAAATCTCGGATTAAAATATGAGTAAAATTCGCATACAATTTATCAAGTATTTCTATTCCGAATTGGTGTAACATCATGGACTCTGTAAAGGATCTGACGCTTTGAGCAATTTTTTCTTCGTTATCCCAGATGGCCCTATCTCCATTCTCAATATAAAATGTGTCAAGTTGCTCGATTGCAAAAGACCCTTCTCTGTCCACTACATCCTTCACTTCCTCTGGTGACGCCATGTAGTATGGTATATTAAACGAGTCTAACTTTTCTTCAGCAATCAGTCCCTAAAACAATAAAAAACAACAAATATTTTACTTATTTTTCGCTGTTGAACACTTCTAGATCTCTATATAAAACAACTTTCAATCATAAGCAGTGCCATATTTAACCAAGACAGTGGAATCCTGGAATTTCAAAGAAGAAATTGTGAAATAAATCCAAAAGTTACAACTGAAGTCTAGACTATGGACATTTATTTATAAAATTTGAAGCTATGTTTTTACAAAATATAATGGGAAATTATGTCATGCAAATTCCCTCTATGCACTTGATCATATAAAAAGTCAACTCTTGTTAAGATATATGTCTACAAAAGTTTGGAAGATTTGTTACCAGAGAGACCATGTGGCTTATAGCCTCAGCCAAAAGTTCCCAATTGAAGTTGCTTTCTTTGCTTGTAGCATCCGAAGATTGCCTTCCATTGACAATAAGTACAACACGACCATCGGGTATCATCTCTTGAGAGCGTGATCGGAGAAATAAGCCAAAGTCTTGCTGAAATTGAGCAAGATATGCTTCTTTCACACTGGGAGGACTTGTTTTAGATATATAAATCTTCCCCTTGTTCAATGGCAACCCATCTTTGTCTACAAGTCTTGGGGCCTTACAATATTCATTGAATAATTATCATTTCAAGTATTTTTTTAATCAAATGTCGCAAAATTTGAATAAATATTGAATAAATAATATTACCTTGGAGAGCCAGTGGACACTGTAAGAGGAATGAAGAAGATGCAAGGTATCTGTAGGGAAAAGCCGGCCATGGAAAGAACCAGGAGCACCCATTACAAAGCATGAAACATCTTCATACCTTTCAAGAAAGCTAGAGGATCCTTTAAAGAGTGTGTTAAAATCGTTCACAGGTAGATCATTCAAGTAAAACTGAAACTCTGGCAACTGGCAATTCAATTCCCCACATTTGCTTTTAACACTTTCTATAATAGTTTCCATCAGCGTAAACGTGTTCGGACCCGCAGAGCAACCCAAATCCGCCACGTTTAGAGCTTTGTATGGGAGTAAATTTTCGTGAAAAAGTGAATTAATCGCACTCTGTACTACAGGCTTGGATATGGAGGCTATTCTTTGCTGCAATATTACTTGGAATAAAGTTAGTTTGAAGCCATTAAAATTAAAAGGGAAAGAAAATGAAAATAAAAGAAAAAAAGAAAAAAAAACTGACCGCCAAGAAAGAGCTTTGAGCATAGCTACTTTCTCCATCTCCTTTCTTCATGAAAATCATATCCTTGGATTCCATGGTTCTCTTTGTACTCTACTCCCTCTCTTACTGAATCAAAGTGCTTGCCTGCTTAATTATTCGCAGAAAGGAGGTGATTTTATTTATGAATTTTTTTCCCCTCAGTTGAAACCACGTGTCGTGACCTTAGACCACACAAATAATTATCCCACATTTTCGTAGGGTCTGTGTTACAGGGTAAAAACATGCAGAATGAGAGCGTGAGACGTGTCCTCCAAAGTGAGTCATCATTTAGAAGAAGGATCGATGGAAGAAAACAAGCCGCCTCCCCAAACACAGTTGAGTAATGTTATATTTACAACACCTTTTATACTATTTTCATTACATTATGGTGTGCTACATACAAATTTTTAATTATTTTTAATTTTTAATATTATAATAAAATTATTATTAGTAAAATAGTTATGGTATAAAGGGTGGTGTGAAGATAACATTACCCAAGACAGTTGCCCACTTATACGAAGAAACCAATAAGGATGCAAGTTGATACTCTTTCCATGTGTCAGCTTTCATGAGGGTTACTTTATCTCCAAGTTAATCATGTAAATCCTAGATAAAACCTCACCACAATTACGGAGATATTAAATATACGCACCTTAGAGAGCCAATGGGCACCGTAGGAGGAATGAACAAGATGCATGGAACTTTTGGGGAAAAGCCGACCATGGAAAGAAACCAGGGCATCCCATTACAAGCAAGCAGATCATTATACTTTTCAGTATAGTTAGACAAACCTTTGAAGAGTGTGTTAAAGTCATTCCCTGGTAGATCTTCAAATAAAACTGAAACCTGGAATTTGATAATTCAATTCCCTGCTTTTTCTTTTGACACTCTCTATCACAGTTTCCATCACCAAAAATGTGGTTCGTCCCGAAGAACAACCCAAATCCGCTACGTGCAGAACTTGGTATGGGAGGAAACTTCGGAAACAGAGACTCAACTACCTTCTCTAGTGCGGCTTGGACATAGCCACTACTTTTTGCTGTATCACAAATTAATAACTGTAAGTTCATAGCAAGCCATGAACCAAAACAAAAGTTAAGAAAATAAATCATACCGTAAATGAACAGTTCTGAAAGAAGCTATTTTCTCATTTCCTTTGCTCATGAAAGCATATTCTTCACCTCCATGGTGTCTCTTTCTGTTTCTGGCAGTTCTCCTTTGATTTTTGTACTATATAAATACATGTACATGTTAAATTATTCCTATTCCATTAAGGAGAGAAGGAGCTAAAAACAAAAATAACCGCTACATTCATTTGAATTGGTCATTGTATCAGACTTCGCAGAGTCCACCGACCCAGTTGTTTTATTTAATGGGTAGTGGCCATTATTAGGTTCTTACTACGTAAACAAACACATCAGTAGACTTTCAGCTACCTTATTTTATATTCTTCTTTCTTGATCGATCACCAGCAATTCACACCCAGAGTAAGAATAATGCAATAAAAGAATCAAGAATAAGAATAATGACCAAGCTGTCTTTGTTCCTTACAAAGCAAGAAACATCATGCATCAAGCAGGGAAGGTAAACGAACATTTCTCTAAGCACAAGAATGATGCTTGTGATCTTGTGTGGCTCTGTTTGTCTCGCTAAATCTCGGATTAAAATATTAAAATTCTCATACAATTTATCAAGTATTTCTATTCCGAATTGGTGTAACATCATGGACTCTGTAAAGGATCTGATGTTTTGAGCATTTTTTCTTCGTATCCCAGATGGCCTTATCTCCTATCTCAATATAAAACTGTCAAGTTGCTCAATTGCAAAAGACCCTTCTCTGTCCACTACATCCTTCACTTCCTCTGGTGACGCCATGTAGTATGGTATATTAAACGAGTCTAACTTTTCTTCAGCAATCAGTCCCTAATAAAATAAAAGACCACAAATTTTTTACTATTTCGCTATTGAACACTTCTAGATCTCGTATAAAAACTTGCATAGCAGGGCTATATTTAACCAAGACAGTGGAATCCTTGAATTTCAAAGAAGAAATTCCTAACTCTCTCTAACTAAAGTTACTCTTGTTAAGATATCTACAAAATGAGTTTTGAAGATTTGGCATTTACCAGAGAGACCATGTTGCTAATAGCCTCAGCCAAAAGTTCCCAATCGAAGTGCTTCGCAGCATCCGAAGATTGCCTTCCATGGAGATAAGTACACACGACCATCGGCTATCGTCGCTTGAGAGGCGTGTTGGAGAAATAAGCCAAGTCTTGCTGAAATTGAGCAAGATATGCTCTTTCCTCACCGGGAGGACTTGTTTTAGATATTAAATCTTCCCCTTGTTCAATGGCAACCCATCTTTGTCTACAATCTTGGGGCCTTACAATATTCATTGAATATTTCATTTCAAGTATTTTTTTAATCAATTGTCGCAATATTGAATAATTATATGGTGAATAAATAATATTACCTTGGGAGCCGTGGACACTGTAGAGGAGTGAAGAAGATGCAGGTATTTGTAGGGAAAAGCCGCCCATGAGAAGAACCGGAGCACCCATTACAAAGCATGAAACATCTTTATACCTTTCAACAAAGCTAGAGGATCCTTTAAAGAGTGTGTTAAAATCGTTCACAGGTAGATCATTCAAGTAAAACTGAAACTCTGGCAACTGGCAATTCAATTCCTCACATTTGCTTTTAACACTTTCTATAATAGTTTCCATCAGCGTAAACGTGTTCGGACCCGCAGAACAACCCAAATCCGCCCGTTTAGAGCTTTGTATGGGAGTAATTTTCGTGAAAAGTGAGATCAACTGCTCTCTGTACACAGCTTGGATAGAGGCTATTCTTGCTGCAATATTACTTGTAATAAAGCTAGTTTGAACGCTTAAAATGACAGAGAAAGAAAATGAAATAACAGCCAAAAAAAAAAAAAAAATAACTGACCGTGAAGAAAGAGCTTTGAACATAGCTACTTTCTCCATCTCCTTTCTTCATGAAAAGCGTATCCTTGGCTTCCATGAGTTCGTGGTTCTCTTTGTTCTTACTGAATCAAAGTGCTTGCCTGCTTATTTGCAGAGAGGAGGTGATTTTATTTATGAATTTCTTTTCCCTCAGTTGAAACCACGTGTCGTGACCTTAGACCATACAAATAATTCTCCCACGGTTTCGTACTACTATAAGCATAAATTATACGGTTTAGTAAAAGAAATTTTTCCTCCTCAAATTCTGGAAACTAACGCAGCCACCCCATCTTTTGTTTCCGTTTATTATAGTTATCATTGACCATTTTTTATTAAAAAAATTCCAACTTTACCTTCATTTTTTTATAAATATTATACAGAAATTGATCTAATTAATATCCTTATATCAATTATTAAAAAAAATAAAAATATTCATAATTTTTTTTTTATAATTCTACGAAATTTAATTTCATAAAAATATTCATAATTTTTTTTTTTTATAATTCTACGAAATTTAATTTAATCAAGAAATTATAAAATATAATCGATAAAATAAAAAATTATAGCTGATCTGGGGCTCCTTAAGTCCAATCCAAGATCATTAAAATGGATCCATATTTTGGGCCGATCGTAGCCCAGTAATCACGAATCATAAAAATAAGGCCCATTTATTAAACAAAAAAACCAGAAGCTACGAGGAATAGAAAACAAAATAATACAATACTTTTAATTCGAGCTCCCAAAACCCTAACACTTGCTCTTTCAGATCAGAGAAGTAATGGCGGCGAGCGAGCGCACGGTGTTGCAATTTGCATCATCGTCGAGTTCAACGGCAAACATAACGGCGAAAGTTCATCCTCTGGTTATTTTCAATATCTGCGATTGCTATGTGAGGCGTCCAGACCAAGCGGAGCGCGTTATTGGCACACTCCTCGGTTCCGTCTTGCCAGACGGCACCGTTGATATTCGTAACTCTTATGTCGTACCTCAAACGAATTCTCCGATCAGGTTCTTACCTTTTTTTTTTTTTTTTTTTTTTGTGTGTTTATGTTAGGTAAATTATTATTTTTGGGGAGTTAAATAAATAGAATTAGTTAGCTGCGAAACAATAAGAAGAAGTTGCACGTAGAGAGTTAATTTATATTGTGTAAGCTAAAATGCTTTTTGCTTGTGATCTGTTTGGGTGCCTAGAAAAAAGTATAAAAGTAGATAGACATAGATAGAAAAGTATTAAAAAACATATCGGCGGCAAGAAAGAGTTAATTTGTGTTAAGCTCACTAATTATACAAATAGGGTAGTTTCTGTTGAACACAACTGGGTAGCTTATGGGATTCTGTTATTTATCGCAGGTTGCTTTGGATATCGAATCAATCATACCATGTTAAAGTCTCACCTAAAGGTGAATCCGCAGGAAGTTATTGTAGGATGGTAATTCTCATCTCATTGTTATTCTTCTTTCTTTTTAATATGTTTTATTCTCTTTATAAACAAGTTCAGATTGCTGAATTTTTATTTATTTTTTATCCATTGAGTTGTTGATGTATTACGGTATTGTGATTTTGTGAACTTGTGCAGGTTTTCAACTGGGTTGGGAGTCACTGGTGGCAGTGCATTGATCCATGAATTTTATTCTAGAGAAGTTTCCAATCCTGTTCACCTGACTGTGGATACAGGATTCCAGAACGGAGAGGGTACCATAAAAGCTTATGTTTCAGTTAATTTGTCTCTTGCAGACCGGCCACTTGCTGCACAATTTCAAGAAATTCCTCTTGATCTTCGAATGATTGAAGCTGAGCGAGTTGGATGTATGTATATGCTTTGCATTTTGATGCATATGAAACACTTGTTGGATGTTGCTAATACCACATTAATTTATTGAATGCAATGTTATGTTACTCATCTGGCGTCAAGAACATTTTTTTTTTTTTTTTTTTTAATTCTTGATCATTTTTTCTGTCAGAATAGATGTAAAAGCATGTTCAATAAATCTTATGTGCTGTGTGTTTATGTCATTCATTTCTTTCTTTTTCCTCTTCCATCCTAGCTATAGTTCTTGTCAGCTTTGTCTTAAGCTCTGCACCTGTGAATGTTTGTATATTCAAAGCTATATACTAGTTTTATATGATTGGATGGTCTTATAGTTAATAATACAATCTGAACAATAATATTTGGTCATGATGGCAGTTGATATACTGAAGACAACATCGGTTGACAAACTTCCTAGTGATTTGGAAGGAATGGAAGTCTTAATGGAACGACTAGTAACTCTAATTAATGATGTTTACAAATATGTTGATGATGTTGTGGTGAGTATGAGGGCTCTACCTTTCCTATAGTAAAAAAAGTTTGATAGTTCTACCTTCCCTATGGTTTGATTTGATTTAGTACTTGTTTTTCTTATTAGGAAGGACGTGTTGCACCTGATAACAACATAGGGAGATTTATATCAGAAGCTGTAGACTCCCTTCCCAAACTGTCACCACCAGCTTTTGACAAGCTTATTAATGACAACCTGCAGGTAAGATTAAAGTTTAAATTTTTATCTTGCCCGGTAGTTTGAATTAAGTCTGTTGACTCAAGTAATTTCTATGTGGGTTGCCCAATATCTTCAACCGTGTAAATTATTTGACACGTAATCATTCATATAGTTTCTCAATGCTTTTTAATTTATAATTTTTTTGCCATAAGTGAGGTGATTCTTTGTTATGTCCCTTACACCACATTTTCTCAGCTTAAAATTATTAATCTCCAACCTTGGATACAAGGGTAGAGGGCATTTAGCTGACTAAATTTTGTTTTTTTGGTTTTTCTTGTTCTCACAGGACCAGTTGCTCATGCTGTATTTGTCAAGCATCACAAGGACACAGCTCAGTTTGGCAGAAAAGTTGAATACAGCTGCTCAAATGCTATAATATCCATCTTGTGGATGAATCCTTGTGGGGACGCGATTTTTCTTATGAAAGGTTTTTAACTGTTGGTATATCGAGGAAATGTGGGTGTTTTTCTTTGAGAAGGTTGTATTTTTTTATCTTCAATTTTTAAATTTGTAGGTTCTTATAATTTTAACAAGTTGTTTTGTAATGTTTAAATTGCTATTCATAAACATCATCCATTTTGGTGAGATTGAGCATTAAATCTTCCTTCCCTCCATTCCCTAACCTGGCTTTTTGTCGCTGTCATATTGCTCTGTTGAGTTGATGCTTTACCCCGGACTTATGCAGAGTATTTACTACTGTTTAATGGGGTTTCCTCCTTTTTGGTTTTGGAGTACCCTTTTAAAATCTTTTGTTTGCCCAAGTAATGATAAACAGAAATAATTTACTACAATTAAATTTTGTTTTCTGGGTAATGAGGAAATTTTGCATCCTGCATCTTTTGCTTGTGCCACTGCCGATGTCTGGATGAAAGCAAGAGCTAACATTGTCACTAAAAACTAATTGCTGGGCCTGCATTTTACATGTGTACTTGGTTTGGACGTACACGGTACAACTCTGTGTTTTGGATCGGAGAACTTGTATTAAATATTTCGAAGGTGTTTCTTCTTAAAATCAATATACAAAATAAATCAATATACAAAATGGATAATAGGGCACTGACAGTTCAAGGAGTGAATTGAGGACATGTTGTGAATCTAAGTCATTAATGATGGTTCGTTCAATCATCACTAGGTGGTCGAACAGTCAATTAGAACTCTTGAGTGTATTATTCAAGAGGTCGATTTGCCTCTGTTGTTAATAAACGTGGTTATGTGAGGTTTATTTGGTTGTTAACTTCAAGATTTCGAGGGATTAATTGAGTTACGCATAAATTGATTCAAACATCCTTGATCACAAAAAATAAAAGAATAATATGATGGGTCGTTTCTAATTACACATATTGGGTAGCAGGCTATAATTGGCATTCTCTTCACATCATAAAATAAGGTTGGTGCTAATTGTTAACAACTTAAAATAAACACCAAGGCCACATGTTAAATCCGTAAAGAGAAATGTTTTTATTTTTAATGATAGCTCAATGCCTAACTTTCTACAAGAAAATTATATCCTGTATTTTCTAAGCTAGCTATAATGTTTGCATGATAATAATATTATATATTACCACTTTAAAAATATTAAGACAAATAGGTGTCCTGCCAAAACTATGTCACTGATCAAAAAATTAATGTACCAAACACAGTCAGGTTCACATTATTAATAAATTAATCAACAAATCCAGTCAAGTTAATCAGCATAATAAACCGATGCTGTGTCAGTGGCCTCCATACTTTAATTAAATGGCGGAGACCCCATTTCCAGTGACTGAAATTTTGTTTCTATAATTGGGTCTCTAAACTGTTTTACCTTAACCATGGTTTGCCGTAAACAAGATTGATTACTAGTGCTTCTTCACCTTTTTGTCTCCATTATTGTGATTAAGCCTCCAGCTTTCCTTCGACTCATGCATTGCATCATGCATTATCAGACAGACATGGCGAAGAAGACAAGAGAAAAGAGACGGAAATCTGGGGCGACCTAGATTTCACGCGTGCCCTAATTCTAGCTCTAGACCTTCTCGTTTCTCACTGAATAACATTTCTTTGTTTTTGCATGTCCGAGGAGAGAGAGAGAGATCAATTCCTCATGTTTAATTTAATTATTAATTATTCAAAAATATACATGTGTTGGAGGATCTACGTGGACACACATAAACGACAAACAAACAGACAGAAATGGCTCTTTAATCGATCTCAGCGCTTAAGTCCTTCTTGTAACTTCTTCTGTATGTACATTTCTGATTTCCCTTCATATTTTGAGAGTTGAGTCAGTATTATTGATCTCGTTATATATATATATATATATAGGGTGTGTGTGTGTTTTGAAACCTCAATCTATAGCTTAAATGATATATTATGAACATGGTTGAGAAAAATGGAATTTTATGCTTAATTGTTTGCCTGTCTTTTTATGATTGGGGTGTCTGGGCTAGCTTACGTACATTTCGACTAATCTTATGATCGGAGGTGTCTAGGTCAGTTTATGCGCACCTCAACTAATCTCTCGAAGCCAACTAATCTCATGATCAAGGGTGTCCAGATCAGCTTACGTGTACTTCAGCTAATCCCTTAGAACTACTAATCGAATAAGAACTCTAGTGGTTATCTCTATTAGGGATCGAATAAGAATTTCAATAGCTCCCTTATTAGCATCCAAGAAAGGACTTGAATTCAAAATCTTTTGAGTAATACTCTCAAGAGCTCCTATCGAGCTGCTTGACCACTCAAAAGTAGTTGTTTGCCTGTCTTTCTCTCTTAAAGAATGTTATACTTGAAAAAATAGGGCTGAAGCGGAGTCTTGTCAGCATGGAGTAGTCAGGACTTTGGAAAGTTCTGTGACCGTGCACGCGCACCCACGTCGCATAATGACGTAAGTGGCATGCTCCTGTCAGTGTAGTGGGTGAGCGCCAGGCTAGCGAATGGTTGAATATCATCCACGTGTCCAATCCCTGCATAAGTCGAGCAAATCACTCGGGCAAGTGAGTAATAGGACGTAGAGAAGGATTTACACGGTATCCATCCCACTTGCAGAATTAGTAATTCTGACCTTGGTTTATCCCACTATAAATAGAGGATTTCTCTCTCATTTGTGGGATTAGCTAATTTCACTCTAGAATAACTCTCTCTCTCTCTCTCTCTCTCTCTCTCTCTCTCTTGTATTCTCTAAGCTGTAACTCGGTTCGCTGAATGCGACTTGACTTTACTCTCTCATTAATACAATATCAATGGGTGTAGGATTCGCTTTTGAGCATCTGAACCACTTTAAATATTACTCTTCACCTTTTATTTAATTGAACATTTTCATATCACGTGTGACCTCTAAGTCCGCTTAACATCTCTCACGTGCGATTAGTTGGTGTTAAAATCAAATATTAACAAAGAATATTAATTTAATTATTCACTAACCATGAAAAGTGTTTAATTTTACAATTAATGGTGAAAATATCATAGAGATTATAGAGTGAACACAACACCGTGATTCAAATCTTTATGGTTAAAAAAAAAAAAAAAAAAAAAAACTGTCAACCCAATCGTGTTGCTAGCTCCTGTCATGACTTAATTAATTATGATAATAACAAATAGATGAAAACAGAAGAAGACAATAATTTAATCAGTAGCCAAGTAATATACCTAGGAGTTAGAAAGCAGCAATCTTAATGCTACTGCCAAGTGCACACAGACAAACCCCATTTCTATATATTTTTATTATATAAATTATGAGAACATCCTGGGGAATTGTAGATAAAGCACGCAAAACACAAGTTGGCCTTCTGCAACTCCCTTGACTGATCTAACTAGAGACTTACCTAAATCAATACATTAATATAAAACTTTAAACAAAATAATGAAACAAGTGTGAAATGAACCTAAATTTTCTACACTATACTTTGAATTTTAAACTAAAAGCAATTCGCAGATTAAATTTTGAGTACAGAAGACGACTCCTGCTTAGTTTTAATTTTAATATCTGCTTAAAATCTCTTATCTCTCACGAGGGAATCGCAGAATTTCCATGCCAGGCAAGGCAAATCCCGAAGTTTGACGTTCCAATACACAAAAAAACTCACGAGTGCTCAAGATTCTATAGCTGAAGGACAAACCCTAAAGTACAAAGAGTTCACTTACTTTTGAGATCATCACTCACCTAGCTATACCTACAAATGAATCAAACTATTACATGAGTAATTAAGAACTATTGGACGACATGTAGTTGCCTAATATTGGAGCCGCATGACATAAAAATAATATAATAGTCTTTCCTTTTAGGCTGGTAATGAGTTGTCTGTCTCTCCCAAATTTCAATTTGGTGGCTTTATTGTCTTCTAGTTTGTGTTCATACACCCTTAAAAGAAGGTTTAAACTCCACTTTATTTGACTGAGAGCTGCACTAATATAGTCAACCTTACTGCATATCTATGTCAGAACTTGAGATCACAACCGTCCAACAAAAGATCAGACAACGTGAACTTTGACTTTCACTTACATCAATTAAAGCTTCTTTTGTCAATACCCACTTTGGATAATATATAACAAATATTGTTTCATTATTATGTTCTTTAGCACAAAAGTTTGGATTTCTCACATGTCTTCATGATCTTGGACTCACTTGAATAGTCTAACCAAAGCATGCATGACATGACATAACTTGAAACAATAAATAAATTTATATTATACTTTACTGAAAAACACAAAAAAAAACCCTATCTATATAATATTTCTATGTAGATCCATCAACTCAATGAGACAGAAATTTGATACAAAGATTCATTTACAAACTAGAATAATTTAGTGATACTTTAATAAATACTTACTTCTTGTCTGCTCGCCGACCAAAACGTTGAACAGTGGCAGCTTTTGCGCATGTCTCTCTCTATGCACAAATACCGGGCAAAAATTAAACGATCATATCCGCATAACTCAATCTGAAATTTCAAAAATCAAAGCACAGGATATAAATTTAAGGGGGGTGAAGCTGATTCTCTCATCCTTTGATCATCACCACCGATTCAATTAAAAAAAAAAAAAAAAATTAGTGCAAATAATTGTTTATTCACTGTTCAACGTATTGTATTTATATATGCACACGGACTCATATCTTTTGTGTTCAGAGAGGCTCAGAAAGAAAGTAGTTCACAGAGACTTCCATTTCCATCAAAGAAACTCAGATATGGACGACGGCATGTCAGGCTTTTACATAAAAGCAGCAGGACATCATGTTAATAATGGTGGTGGTACTGGTGGTGGTGGCAATAATGGTAACTCTGGAACAAAGTGTGGGCGCTGGAATCCCACCACCGAACAAGTTAAAGTTTTGACTGACTTGTTCAGGTCCGGACTCCGAACTCCGAGCACGGATCAGATCCAGAAGATTTCCACTCAGCTTAGCTTTTATGGTAAGATTGAGAGTAAGAATGTTTTTTATTGGTTTCAAAACCATAAAGCTAGGGAAAGACAAAAGCGTCGCAAAGTATCGGTTGATGAGAAGGATGTGCTTCGCAGACTGGACAAGATTTCTCCTAAAACACGTACGTTGATCAGCAACTAAACATTAAAATCTTTTTTTTTTTTTTTTTTTTTTAATTACGTTTGAGAAAGATGGCTTCATCTAACTTAGTCATTATGTTTTATTATTTTTTGCAGATTTTCTAGAGGTTAATCATGTATCTTCAGATGAGCCTGATAGAGTGATCGAAACTCTTCAACTTTTCCCATTAAACTCCTTTGAGGAACAGGAACCTGCGGAGAAGCTGAGAATGCATGCAAATGATTGCAGGGAGACCGCGACAACATTTTCTCATCCACCGTTGGATCTGCGTTTAAGCTTCTTGTAAAACAACCAGCTTTTGATCAATCTTATCAAAGAAAAAAAAAAACTTAGGTTTAAATTAACATCAAGGGGGTGAGAGTTCAGGGGATAGAATTTGGAAGGTGTAACTGAAAATTTAATCAGGATTTGATGATAGTTTAGTTATTAATATTTTCTTTCATTAAAATATTAACAATATGCTTCGACATTCTGCTCTTCATGCCCATAAATCATTGTTTTATCTCTCTGTGTTTACTCTGTTGGATTTTTATTGTTTTTGTATGGAAATCGCAAAATTGCATCCTCTCATGAGAAACGTCTCCTAGAACTGCATAAAATTTACATAAAAAATACTGGTATATTCGTACATTGGGTCTGCCTCCATCTTTGAATTTCATGTATATGTCTTCCCTTATTTGACTCAGTCATGGAAAAGGTATATTGCCGTTGGATATTTTTAAGAAACCTTTCATGCGTGCACCATCAGTAACAAGAAACTCATCTCTAACATCGAGGAAATTTAACCATATCCCCATCAGTCCATCACTGTATTTTGCAGTGACTGGTCATAATCTTTCGAGAATAAAGATACAAGAGAAACGAAGATTACTTTATCTTTTAGAAGATCATGAACCATAAACTTAGACATTTTTGGATATGGTTTGGATTCTATGTAATTGATAAACTAAATTGATAGATGCATATCTCATATGTTTATGTTTAAATGATCTGATATAAGATATTAATGTTGAAGTGCTGCATCGATTAGAGACAAGAGCTTTGGTCGTTTATATAGCATAAGGGCATCCTCACCACCTAGAACCGTACTATGCTCAAGACCCCAAGCAAACAATACTTCTAAAAACCCACCTACATGCACAAAACCGCTTTTAAGTTATTTTTCCCAATGTTCCGAAAACCAGATTGGACTATGACCCATTCAAGGGTCTGGTTTCTGATTTGACCGGTTGGATCGATCGGTTGGACTTTATTCTATAAAATTTTTTTAGTCCCTGAAGGTTTGAAATTCATCAAAAACACTCCTATAAACTCCCTTAAGGTTTGAAATCTGTCTAAAACACCCCTGTTGCGCAAAGAAACTGGTGAGTGGTGGCGGCAGCGACGATCAACTGCCAATCGAAGTTGGAATCATGGGGCTTTTGATGCATAGGTTCCGGTGAATCTGATGGTGGTGCTAGGGAGTTCCATCGGCGCTGGAACTCGCCGGAATCAACAAAAGAAGCCCGACGGTTGCGTGAACTTTAGGTGGACGGTGAGCAACGAAGGCTGGACGATGGTGACTGAAAATGGTTGAGTTTTGTCGTGGAGAAGCCGTCACGTCGAATGGTGGTGTTTTTGCCGTCGAAAGATGCTGGAATCCGACGGGATTGAGCGACGATTGGACCGCAACTCGACAGTATTCCGATGGTCCAACCGTGGCTTAATCCGGTTTAACGAAAAAAGGCGGTTTTTATGAGATACCGGACCGAAAATACCGTCGGCTCCCGGTCGAACCGGTCCGATCCGGTTCTCAGAACATTGGTTTTTCCGAAAAGAATGGGTTACACTATTTGATGGTTAAATGTTACAAAATCTTCAACATTACTATTGAAATTTGGGGATATTTTTGTCATTTCATTTAACTAACAGGTTTCACTTCAGAAGTACTCTAGTATTTGAAGTAGTAGAATTGGCCAAAACCGCAGGATTAATTCTTCTTTGAGCTAGGAATGTGTCTGTTCAGCAAATATTGGAGGTTCTATTAGCACCCGTTCTTGGGCCGAATTGGCCGTTATTCTTCAGGCTCTTTCGGCCCATTATTTTAAACTTCGGGCCTAAATTGGGCCATCTTTTATCTAGGCCCAATTTAACGTACAGATTTCCCCGTCAAAAATTTTCAAACCAATAAAAATACAATTACAACCTTTCCTGGACAGCAAGCAATCAAAAACTCTTCAATAAACTCCTAAAGAAGAAGAAGAAAATAAACTCAACGAATCGGAGACCTAAATATCGGGAGATGGACGTGATTAAAACACAGCAGATATCGGTTAGACCTGTCGAGAAGGTGATAGTTCACCCGCTGGTTCTTCTGAGCATCGTCGATAACTACAACAGAGTCGCTAAAGATACTCGCAAACGTGTCGTCGGCGTTCTTCTCGGCTCGTCTTTTAAAGGAACCATTGACGTCACTAACAGCTACGCAGGTAATTAATTTTCGATTTTATTTAACCTGTTATTGGTAGATCTGATTGCTCGAAATTCCAAATTATGAAATTTTAGCTATGATAAGTGACGTATTAATTTTGTTTTATATAACCATGTGCTAGATTTTAAAAATTAGTTAATTTTCAGTTATATTTTGCTGTGCCAATAGCAATTCTGTGAAATGAAGTTTGAGTTATTAGGCTTTAAGTGGATCAGATTTAATTCTGTTACTCATATGGTATGTTTTTGGCTTTACTTCTCGAATTGTTAGTTAATAACCAGGAACGTGAATGAAACTGTATGTTCTCAATTTTAGGCTGAAAGAACAGGAGTGCCTAGAGGTTTTGTTTGTTTTTTAAATTTGGAGTGGATTTTCAGGGTGTAGTTTCTATTGATTTGACAGGGAATGCATTAGTTAGTTGATATTTGATCCTTTGGTTTGCAGTACCGTTTGAAGAAGATGACAAGGACCCGAGCATTTGGTTTCTTGACCACAATTATCATGAATCCATGTTCTCCATGTTCAAGAGAATAAATGGTATTACTCCAATTAGGTTTCCCTTAAGTTTATGCATGTTTCTATGAAGAATCTGATAGTATCAAATTAAAATTTTCTTTCTTCAGCAAAGGAGCATGTTGTGGGATGGTATAGCACTGGCCCAAAATTGCGGGAAAATGACCTGGATATTCACGGGTTATTTAATAAGTAAGATGACCAGTCGTGATTTTTAAGGGAAAATAAAATTGCCCCAGATTTTTAAATCATCTCATGTGTGCTGTATAATTTTTATCTTGAACTTCCCCTGTTCTGCCTTTGATGCAGCTATGTACCTAATCCTGTCTTAGTCATAATTGATGTCCAACCCAAGGAGCTAGGAATTCCCACAAAAGCTTACTATGCTATCGAAGAGGTGAAAGAGGTAAGAACATAAGTTCTACAGTTTGATGAAGAGTTTTTTATCAATTGATGTGCTAAAACAGGAGAATTTAATACAGCTAGATCATATCTATGCATGCAATTAATTGATAGTACATATGATTTACAGAATGCCACTCAGAAAAGCCAGAAGGTGTTTGTGCATGTACTCTCAGAAATCGCTGCTCATGAAGTCGAGGAAATTGGTATGCCCTTGAGATGAAATCCTTATATAATAATGAGATCATATTTCCTTGTTTGAATAGTAAGAGCATGAAGTATGCTTTTTTATTGGTTGATCTAATCATCTTTTTATGGTTTTGGTTTACCTTTTACAGGTGTTGAACACTTGCTTAGAGATGTGAAGGATACAACTATTAGCACCCTTGCAACAGAGGTCTTGTCTATCAATTTCAAATTTAACTTGCCATTCTCATTTAAATTTTAATGGATCTCTTGCTCTATGTTAAGAGAGATCTAAGTTAGATACACCATTGCTTATAAGTTGACTTTCCATCTTTTGAGATTTGTTCTTGTTATTTCAGAGTGAACTAAACTTAGGTTAGTGTTTGTCTTTGCAGGTGACAGGCAAACTTTCAGCTTTGAAGGGGTTGGATGCCCGACTTCGTGAGATACGGAGTTATCTTGACCTGGTTATTGATGAGAAGCTCCCATTAAACCACGAGATTTTGTATCATTTACAGGTTTGGTTTTGACTGCCTATGTATTCCTTTTTTGAGTTCTATATAGAGCAAATGCACCAACATTGCCCACTGTATATATGAGATTATATTGGGAGATAACACGTTTTTCATTTATCAATTCACTCAAACTTGATTTATGAACTCTTTTGAGGTTCTTATAGCCATTGACGTTGAGTGTTGATTCCATCTTGACCTATTATTTTCCAATCTACTTTATGCAATACTTTATGGTTCTATCAACCTGCTTCATGTCACTTTAGATTTTATTATTTTTTTCCCCTACATTTTGCTATATGTTAAATATTCATTCTTCATATTATCGGCGTGATTTACATCTTACATTCACTTTTATTAAAATTATGTAGAATGTGTTCAACCTTCTTCCAAACCTTAATGTCAATGAGTTGATCAAGGCTTTTGCAGGTAAAAGATTTATGATAGTCAAGTTTTTTGTCCTCCCTCTTTATAATGTTTTAATCTTCTTGGAATATTGATATATTTCTTCTATGTACAGTGAAAACAAATGATATGATGTTGGTGATTTATCTTTCTTCTCTTATAAGAAGTGTCATTGCTCTACACAACTTGATCAATAACAAGGTGAGAAAAATACTTCAATTCCCAGCACAAATAACTTATTTAGTGCTATACCTTTTATCATCAACATGCTGGCCTTGTCCAACAGTTATTGCTTTTTCAAGGTTCAAGCATTGCCCAGTTTTCATTTTGATGCCATGCTACTTTTCGCTATAATTGTTTGAACTGAAATGTTTGGCACACGAGAACATGAACATCTCTCTTTTAGTGCATCATCTGATTTGTGTGTTTTTTTGTATAGCATTTTCTATGAGCATTGAAGCGCCCAATCATACCACTCTAGCTTTAATACTTTTCTCCTTACGGCTTGACTAGACACACCTCACTCCTGTACAAGAATTATAAGTTCTCTGTTTTTAAGTTTAGCTTTGTTGATTCTTGTGTAATCTTAGCAGCCCCTTTGCTACTGCTTTCTTTATGGTTTATGTATACCCTGCTGAAAATAATTTCGATAATTTTCAGATGCTCAACAAAGAATATGAAAAGGCAGAAGACTTGAAGCCAGTTGCTGTTCCTTCTGCAGCTGGAAGTTAAATTCAGGAACCATTTGTTGTAGATTTTCTGCTAGAGGTTGATCTTCTGATGATTGAATTTTGGTCATCTTCTTCCAGTTCTCTCAGCCTTTGGGAGTCGTGAGTTCTTTGAAGTAGAAGGAGGGTGGCTGCTTATTTACAGAAAACTTGCTCTAACGTCCAATCTGTGTTTCTTATGATTCTACATTATATCAATTTCTCTTCACATGTATCTCCAGAATATTGGATTGGTGACAGTTAAAGCCAGCTCTGCCCAACCTCATTCTTTGCTACTCAAATATTAGATTTTCAAATGTTTCGTGCTTCTTCAATTCATTTCTTTCATAAGTTGTTTGAATTATGGAACGGATTAACCTTTACACACCATTCAAAAGCGAATTCTTCTTTTATCAAAACATTTACGCCAATTATTTGATCGGGAATGAAATTGATCTTTTTGTAATAGATATCTAGAGTTTGCCAACTGAACTAACCCATGTCTGGCTCCCCAAGCAGGCAAGAACGCCTTATAGTTACATTTCCAATATCTGAAACGTAATATCAAACAGGAGTATCTATAAATATTTTTTCCAAAATTGTTCAAGAATATTTGTCAATTTGAGGTTTAATGGTTGTTTGAAATATGACATCCAAAAGTTTTACATTTATAGGGAATTAGGAGGTTGACTTCACTCATCTTCTTCATTGTTATCAGGCAAAACTGATTGTTCAAAATCAGCATCCATAATGACCCCATCCATTATGTGTACAACAATCTTCCCTTTCTTGAGATCTACCCTTTCTGACTTAACTCTGTTAACCACAAGCATTGCATCTGAAACCTTTGAAATATATAATGTAAATCCAGATAATGAATCATAAGAGATCTCTTCACCAAAAGGTACTGTAAGTGTAGTCAGAGTCCGAGGAACGGCAGAGAAACCCAATATTCGAGAAAGTATTGCATATGTATTGTTTATCTTGTCACCTTCCAGGTCATGATTGACTCGTAGCCTCAAATCACGTTCAAAAGCTTTTTCTGAAGGTACAAAGACAGTAAAGGCAAGATCTTCAGGCAACATTCCGACCATCATCTCCACAAACTTCCCTAACTCGTCATCTCTAAGAACATCTCTGTTTATCATGTTGGAGTAAGGCCTTCCTAGTGATATCTCAGGAAGCCTAAGCATTGAAAAAATCAAAACAAACAAGCAACAAATAGAAATTGTTATAAATACAACACAAATTGGGTTCTTCAAAATGTGGTCTCTCCTCATCTTCTTCAATGAACTGGATATCAAAAACCTCCCCATTAACCATTCACTAAAAGCAAAATATCACCACCATGACCACTTTACTTATCTAATGACACCCTCAATGGTTAGAAACCTTTAAATCCTTATCAAGCAAAATCAACATTCAAACTCCATATACTTTCAAACCTCTCAAGCCTTCAGTGCCACAACCAATGCCAAAGTATTTCCTTGATCTTCATAACCAAATCTCAGAATTTAAGTCAATTTCAGAAGTTAAGAGTCAGTATGTACAGATTACATTTCATCATTCATATCGAACAAAACCTTTGTGCCAACAGTCAAACACCTTTAAGCGATAAAATCTTCCACTCTTCCTAGTGTTCCAGCTTTTGAGGAATCACAAATCATAGTCCAACTATAGCAATCCCTTCCAATCTCCAACAAATCCTCCACTGGCACAATAAACTAAAACCCATCAACATATAACCATGAAAATCATCACATGACAGTTTATTACATCAGAAGAAACTACAACCTTATATTTGAGATACAGTTAGTTGATATTTGATCCTTTGGTTTGCAGTGCCTTTTGAAGAAGATGACAAGGACCCGAGCATTTGGTTTCTTGACCACAATTATCATGAATCCATGTTCTCCATGTTCAAGAGAATAAATGGTATTACTCCAATTAGGTTTCCCTTAAGTTTATGCATGTTTCTATGAAGAATCTGATAGTATCAAATTAAAATTTTCTTTCTTCAGCAAAGGAGCATGTTGTGGGATGGTATAGCACTGGCCCAAAATTGCGGGAAAATGACCTGGATATTCACGGGTTATTTAATAAGTAAGATGACCAATTGTGATTTTTAAGGGAAAATAAAATTGCAACTGATTTTTAAATCATTTCATGTGTGCTGTATAATTTTTATCTTGAACTTCCCCTGTTCTGCCTTTGATGCAGCTATGTACCTAATCCTGTCTTAGTCATAATTGATGTCCAACCCAAGGAGCTAGGAATTCCCACAAAAGCTTACTATGCTATCGAAGAGGTGAAAGAGGTAAGAACATAAGTTCTACAGTTTGATGAAGAGTTTTTTATCAATTGATGTGCTAAAACAGGAGAATTTAATACAGCTAGATCATATCTATGCATGCAATTAATTGATAGTACATATGATTTACAGAATGCCACTCAGAAAAGCCAGAAGGTGTTTGTGCATGTACTCTCAGAAATCGCTGCTCATGAAGTCGAGGAAATTGGTATGCCCTTGAGATGAAATCCTTATATAATAATGAGATCATATTTCCTTGTTTGAATAGTAAGAGCATGAAGTATGCTTTTTTATTGGTTGATCTAATCATCTTTTTATGGTTTTGGTTTACCTTTTACAGGTGTTGAACACTTGCTTAGAGATGTGAAGGATACAACTATTAGCACCCTTGCAACAGAGGTCTTGTCTATCAATTTCAAATTTAACTTGCCATTCTCATTTAAATTTTAATGGATCTCTTGCTCTATGTTAAGAGAGATCTAAGTTAGATACACCATTGCTTATAAGTTGACTTTCCATCTTTTGAGATTTGTTCTTGTTATTTCAGAGTGAACTAAACTTAGGTTAGTGTTTGTCTTTGCAGGTGACAGGCAAACTTTCAGCTTTGAAGGGGTTGGATGCCCGACTTCGTGAGATACGGAGTTATCTTGACCTGGTTATTGATGAGAAGCTCCCATTAAACCACGAGATTTTGTATCATTTACAGGTTTGGTTTTGACTGCCTATGTATTCCTTTTTTGAGTTCTATATAGAGCAAATGCACCAACATTGCCCACTGTATATATGAGATTATATTGGGAGATAACACGTTTTTCATTTATCAATTCACTCAAACTTGATTTATGAACTCTTTTGAGGTTCTTATAGCCATTGACGTTGAGTGTTGATTCCATCTTGACCTATTATTTTCCAATCTACTTTATGCAATACTTTATGGTTCTATCAACCTGCTTCATGTCACTTTAGATTTTATTATTTTTTTCCCCTACATTTTGCTATATGTTAAATATTCATTCTTCATATTATCGGCGTGATTTACATCTTACATTCACTTTTATTAAAATTATGTAGAATGTGTTCAACCTTCTTCCAAACCTTAATGTCAATGAGTTGATCAAGGCTTTTGCAGGTAAAAGATTTATGATAGTCAAGTTTTTTGTCCTCCCTCTTTATAATGTTTTAATCTTCTTGGAATATTGATATATTTCTTCTATGTACAGTGAAAACAAATGATATGATGTTGGTGATTTATCTTTCTTCTCTTATAAGAAGTGTCATTGCTCTACACAACTTGATCAATAACAAGGTGAGAAAAATACTTCAATTCCCAGCACAAATAACTTATTTAGTGCTATACCTTTTATCATCAACATGCTGGCCTTGTCCAACAGTTATTGCTTTTTCAAGGTTCAAGCATTGCCCAGTTTTCATTTTGATGCCATGCTACTTTTCGCTATAATTGTTTGAACTGAAATGTTTGGCACACGAGAACATGAACATCTCTCTTTTAGTGCATCATCTGATTTGTGTGTTTTTTTGTATAGCATTTTCTATGAGCATTGAAGCGCCCAATCATACCACTCTAGCTTTAATACTTTTCTCCTTACGGCTTGACTAGACACACCTCACTCCTGTACAAGAATTATAAGTTCTCTGTTTTTAAGTTTAGCTTTGTTGATTCTTGTGTAATCTTAGCAGCCCCTTTGCTACTGCTTTCTTTATGGTTTATGTATACCCTGCTGAAAATAATTTCGATAATTTTCAGATGCTCAACAAAGAATATGAAAAGGCAGAAGACTTGAAGCCAGTTGCTGTTCCTTCTGCAGCTGGAAGTTAAATTCAGGAACCATTTGTTGTAGATTTTCTGCTAGAGGTTGATCTTCTGATGATTGAATTTTGGTCATCTTCTTCCAGTTCTCTCAGCCTTTGGGAGTCGTGAGTTCTTTGAAGTAGAAGGAGGGTGGCTGCTTATTTACAGAAAACTTGCTCTAACGTCCAATCTGTGTTTCTTATGATTCTACATTATATCAATTTCTCTTCACATGTATCTCCAGAATATTGGATTGGTGACAGTTAAAGCCAGCTCTGCCCAACCTCATTCTTTGCTACTCAAATATTAGATTTTCAAATGTTTCGTGCTTCTTCAATTCATTTCTTTCATAAGTTGTTTGAATTATGGAACGGATTAACCTTTACACACCATTCAAAAGCGAATTCTTCTTTTATCAAAACATTTACGCCAATTATTTGATCGGGAATGAAATTGATCTTTTTGTAATAGATATCTAGAGTTTGCCAACTGAACTAACCCATGTCTGGCTCCCCAAGCAGGCAAGAACGCCTTATAGTTACATTTCCAATATCTGAAACGTAATATCAAACAGGAGTATCTATAAATATTTTTTCCAAAATTGTTCAAGAATATTTGTCAATTTGAGGTTTAATGGTTGTTTGAAATATGACATCCAAAAGTTTTACATTTATAGGGAATTAGGAGGTTGACTTCACTCATCTTCTTCATTGTTATCAGGCAAAACTGATTGTTCAAAATCAGCATCCATAATGACCCCATCCATTATGTGTACAACAATCTTCCCTTTCTTGAGATCTACCCTTTCTGACTTAACTCTGTTAACCACAAGCATTGCATCTGAAACCTTTGAAATATATAATGTAAATCCAGATAATGAATCATAAGAGATCTCTTCACCAAAAGGTACTGTAAGTGTAGTCAGAGTCCGAGGAACGGCAGAGAAACCCAATATTCGAGAAAGTATTGCATATGTATTGTTTATCTTGTCACCTTCCAGGTCATGATTGACTCGTAGCCTCAAATCACGTTCAAAAGCTTTTTCTGAAGGTACAAAGACAGTAAAGGCAAGATCTTCAGGCAACATTCCGACCATCATCTCCACAAACTTCCCTAACTCGTCATCTCTAAGAACATCTCTGTTTATCATGTTGGAGTAAGGCCTTCCTAGTGATATCTCAGGAAGCCTAAGCATTGAAAAAATCAAAACAAACAAGCAACAAATAGAAACTGTTATAAATACAACACAAATTGGGTTCTTCAAAATGTGGTCTCTCCTCATCTTCTTCAATGAACTGGATATCAAAAACCTCCCCATTAACCATTCACTAAAAGCAAAATATCACCACCATGACCACTTTACTTATCTAATGACACCTTCAATAGTTAGAAACCTTTAAATCCTTATCAAGCAAAATCAACATTCAAACTCCATATATTTTCAAACCTCTCAAGCCTTCAGTGCCACAACCAGTGCCAAAGTATTTCCTTGATCTTCATAACCAAATCTCAGAATTTAAGTCAATTTCAGAAGTTAAGAGTCAGTATGTACAGATTACATTTCATCATTCATAACGAACAAAACCTTTGTGCCAACAGCCAAACACCTTTAAGCGATAAAATCTTCCACTCTTCCTAGTGTTCCAGCTTTTGAGGAATCACAAATCATAGTCCAACTATAGCAACCCCTTCCAATCTCCACCAAATCCTCCACTGGCACAATAAACTAAAACCCATCAACATATAACCATGAAAATCATCACATGACAGTTTGTTACATCAGAAGAAACTACAACCTTATATTTGAATTTCAAGCAAGCAAATTATTCTTGTGTACATCACTTTATTAGATCTTTTTAGTTTACACCACTTTCTGATTGATTATTAATATCAATTATTTCACTAGTCCATGGCAAGTCCAGGAGATTTCCTTTCACAAGTGTCATGATCATTGCTATCCCAACTGTCACCATGGTTTCTATTGTCTTTGCCTCCTAATGTTCACAATCTCAAGCCTGTAAAATCATTCACAGAGAATTGAAAAAATGGTACTGATTAATTTTTTTTCTTATAAGCTTAAGATATAGGAGAAACAATAATTACTTAAAAATGCAAGCCATTATAAATGTCAAAGTAGGAATAATGTTGCACATGGCAAATGTGTAAGTAGCTGTAGTGTACTTCATTATAATTACCGTAAATATTCTCAAGTGTTACTAATTATGGTAAAAAGTAATCACCTATGCACAGGCCTGTGCTTAGCCAGAACCTGTTCTACACTGGGATGAAGAACACTACAACTACTTACACAGTTTCCATGTGCAACATTCTTCCTGCTTTGACATTTATAATGGCTTGCATTTTTAGGTAATTATTACCATCTCCTATATCTTAAACTTGCAAGAGAAAAAATTAATCAGAACCATTGTTTCAACTCTCTGTGAATGATTTTGCAGGCTTGTGACTGTCAGCATTCAGAAGTTGCACAACCAGCAAGATATTGGGAAGCATACTGACAGTTAGGGGAGCAATGAACATGACACTTATGAAATGAAATCTCCTCAACCTGCCATGGAGAAATGGAAGTACTAATATTCATAATCAATCAGAAAGTGATGTACACAAGAAAGATCTAATAAAGAAGAACCTAAATTTAATGGTTTAGGTTCTCAAGAACTAGTTTCAAGCTATTGCATTCCCTACAAATCAAAACCACAAAACTAATAAACGCAGCCCCGTAATAAATTGTAAAAATAAAACACAATAAGGTCTAACCTCCTATGAACTGTAATAAACTTTTCTCTTTGGCTTTGTTTACTTCGCATTCCTATGTCCTAATTCTAAATCTTAAACAACAGAAAACTTAAAATTCCATACAGTTCAAAACCTAATCATAACCTTAGTTTTCTCAGTAACTAAACAGAGAAAATAAGCAGGAAAACAAGAAGAAACGCCATTATCACAAAGCAAAGTTATAATCAGATTCAGTAGAAAGCACTTATTTAGCAGACAAAGTCAAATTAAGAAGCTCATACATAGCTTCAGTTAATATCACATTAAGGGGAAAAAAAAAAAAAAAAAAGAACGTAATTTTTGTGAGTTATTTACCTCTCTACCTTGAAATTCTCGAGTGAATGGGCCAACAGTTAAATTGATTGAAGCATTAACAAGAATTTCGAAATTTGAAATTAGGTTAGGGTTAGGTTCTCTGAAGTGAACAGATTGATCGGGAGGTTACAGATGGGAATAAAATATTTTCTTGGTCAAAATGGGCAATATAAAATTCACATTATTAAATCAAGATTTTAGTAATTTACAAAAATGACTCTTTTATCACTCTTACAATACTGCAAACTTTAAGATTGGTCATCTACTCATCAACATCTATACTATAAACCACCCTTAGTAGTTGGGGTATTATACAAAAGGTTTTGAATTCGATTTTTTTCGATTGTTAATAATGGTAATTATGAGTTCGATTCCTTTGATTGTCAATAAAGGTGGCCACACTTAAGGACTAATTAATCGACAAAAGTAAAAACTTTGATCATCTACTACAACGAGTTTAACGTAAGGAATAAATAAAGTACTTTAGGGGCTTACATAGTAATTAGGCCCAAATCTAATTAAGATTTGCTTGTTCAACGGACTTAAAAAAAGAGCAAGATAAACTTTTAAAACTTTGTTGAGTGTAAAAATAAGCGTAATGAATGAAAGTGTCTTATCACGGAGCAAACTAGCAAAGTGTATAATAGCATAGAACTTGTGGGTAACTTCAAGGGATTTGCCTGACAGTCAAGAATGTTTACTTCTTTCTTTAACTTTCTCGGATCGAATCATACACACCTATCATATTTATGGTTTACCTTGAAATATTGGACTTATAAGGTATTTAATGGACACGTAAGCTAACGTGGACACTCCGGCTATAAAAATAAAAATATATAGAGAGAGAGCTTGTGGGTGTGCATATAAAAAAAAAACATGACTCAATACAAAGTTTGTGTTAGTTGGTGGCAGCATAGCAATATTTGTTTAGTAATATCAAGCAATTTGAATGGATTCATAATGAGATAGCAGCCCATAATAGCCCATAATAACCAAGGAATGGAGGTCCCTTTCATTCAACAGGATGGCCATAAAAGAAGATCTCTATTTTATTCTTATTAATTCCCAATTTGCCATACAAAAAAACAATAATAATAATAAATAAATAAATTAGAGGAGGGAGTAATTGTTTGATATTAAGAAGATAAACAAGTATTTTGTCTTTTAATCGGATTTAGAGGATAAGTTAATTGGAGAGAGGCAATCGCTGACGTCACAGTCAACTTGGACTTGGACTCCTTATCCAACATCAAATTTCACAGAAGATAAAAGGGAAGAAATAGCCAACTTGCTAAGCTTGAGGGAGCAATAAAATTTAAGTTTAAAACAAAACGACAACTATAATTAACATAAACTATATCACAAATACACAAAACATCTCTCCTCCTCGTTTTAATCACCACCCTTCATTCAACCCATTTTGCCCGGACACTACTAATCCGACGGCTCAAACTACATCAGACTAAATTCATCATAATACATTAACTTGATACAAATTGCATGAACTCGTAATCAGATTCAATCCCGGCCATTGTTTCTGGCGCCAAAACCACCTCGAGATCAACGCTGCCACCACCTTCACGCCCTGGAAAAGCGGAGATCTTGCCGTCAAACTTGTTCGCATTTCCACTTCTAACCGCCAAAGGTCGGCCCCACCCGAAATCATTATCGTACATCGGGAATCTTGGCGAGCTACCCATCGTCATTGATGCACCGTCGAAGTTTCCTAGCGGGAACACTCTCGGATTACTCTCCCAATCACCCACAAAACGACGCACCGTTTTGTCGTCATGAGCGTTTACATTTTTGTTCAACTGCTCCGCGCACCACCTCAGATCTTTACTCAACACCTCCCCGGCTGACGCGTAAGTGGGAATGCTTTGAATCGCGTTACCGAAATACAATGGATCCAGTTTCGGGTTCAATCTGTGACGGCAATTAACCGCCATTCTGAACGTAGTCGTTTTGGACACGTGTAATTTCCTCGCTCGAGTCACCGCCCGCCATAAAAGAGCGCACAGTGACTGAAACGACGATATCTCCACGTTTGACTCCGTTTTCTTGAACAAAGTATTATAGTACGGATCGTTACTTTGCTTCCCCATTAATTCAACGGCGTCAATATCGCCGTTAGTGATGCATATCTTGTTATTAACTCTAGCTTTCAGTTCCAAAATTGATTCTCTGCTGAAACTGAAGATTCTTTCACTCAACGGTTCGTATTCATTGAAAGTCACCTTCAGTCCACCGTCGGGAATTCTCAAAACCGCCGGCGAAATCAACACTGAGTCGCGAGAAAAATCGGGTTGTTTGGAGATTTTCTTCATTCCTCTCGAGATTTCAGCGAAAGTGTTGAAAAAATTCCAGAAGGACGTGCCGTCAGTGACCGCGTGATTCACAGCGCAGCTAATGAAGACACCGTCCGCAAGCTCTGTCACTTGTACGGTCAAGAGTGGTTTACAATGGCCGTCATGACTAATAGTTCTGTCAAAAGCGAAGAAGCTCTTGACGATTTCAGGGACATGAAGTGGGGCAAGAATTTCACGAATGAACAACTTGGCGGCATTTTTGTGAATAAAACCCGCACCCGCGTCGTTGCAGGTGACATAGATGTAGCCATCAGAGTCGGTCTTCAAGCGCCCAGCGAGAGGAGGAAAACGAGAGAGCGCTTGAGAGAGAGCTCTCTTCAAGAGAGCAACGAGAGAGTCAATGGGTAGATTCGGGCGAGTGAAAAGGCCACCTTTTTGGATGTAGTGACAAGAAAGCATGGGAAGGTCAGAAACTGCAAGCTTAAGGTCTCCAAGAGTTGATTTTTGGTCAGGAAAAACGACGCATTTGGAGACCAGAGTTGGAGAAGACACTGAAACTGAAGCAACCATTTTTTGCGAAAATTAAAACTACTCTCTCTCTCACTCTCGAACTCGCAAAATGGTTCCTTCAGTTGTTGTTTTGATTTGCGAGTGAGGGATTGAGTGCGAAGAAATGAAGAGATACGGGGAGTATTTATAACGGCGGAAAGAAGCGTTAAGAGCAAAGGTGCATGAACTTAAAATGAATGATGAGGTGGTCACTAAGCTGTTACTTTTTTAACCTACTTAATTTATTTAATGTTTCAGTTTAATTAATTAATGATTGTCTATTTTCTTTTTTGTGTTTGTTATCTCAAACCATGATTGAAAACCACGTGTGCATGTTCCTTCTGTTTGATTACCAATTGGGCACACGCTCATTAAAGACAGAAGAGAAACTCTTGGTAATTGTACACGCCTACATTACTATTAACTAACTATAGCTTTCTTCCTCTCATCCAACAGTCTCTTGCCATGTTAATTAGCAATTGGGGTATTGACACGCGTCCACGTATTTATTAAATGTGAAGATTAACATAAATTAATTTAATTTATTAAAAAATCTGGATAGATATTTGAGAAAATGGTAATATTCTAAAACAAAGGGTTAAAATCATGATGGGGATTTGTGTAGGATTTTATGAGGGTAAAAATATGGAAATTTTGGGAGTAAATGGAGTGTTTACTATTTAGTAACAATAATTAAGAGAAAATCCTCAAAGATTTTTCCTTCAAATCTCAGGAATATCATGTAAAGTCTATCTTGAATTACACAAAGCCCCCATATATACGAGATATGCAGCCTCACACACAACCATCCAAATTCTACCAGAATCCTTTAATGCAAGATTTAATGCAATCTCATCCTGATATTCTTGAAAAAAAAAAAAAAAGGACTCCTTCGTGGCTTTCTTCATTGATTTCTCTTCGTCCTACGTGGCTCACATGCAAATGCAGAGTTGTCCATGGAGCAACAAGTAGCAAGTATCAACTTGGGTTTCTATTATTTTTTTAACAACTGAGGCCAAATGGCGCGTCGTCCATAGAAGACTATTGACGGTTTAAAGAGTTACATCTAGGACTTCTCTACGGAAGTATGTTTGCCAATTCCCATATATTTTTTTTTTTTCATGACCAGGGTGGTCCAGGTCAACTTATCTCCTCTTCAACTATTCCTCAAAACTTTAGAACTATTAATCAGATAAGAGTTTCAATAATCATCCCTATTAGAGGTCATGAAAGCTATAACTTATAAGATCATATAAACTTATATCCTCTTTTATTCTTTTACCATCAGGTCATCTAATGATGGTTAATTCTCATACATTATTCTTAATATTTTCCACAATATAATATAAGAGGAAAATTTGTTGAATACAAAGGCCAAGTTGATGGAATAAGGTATTATAATAGGATGATTAAACAGTTTGCTTGGCAAATGGTGTACTAAAATTGATAGTTTTGAGAAGAATCCATGACCTAATCTAAATAATTCTCATGCAAATACTGATTAACATTTATAAAATCTAAATAAAATCCATACGAAGAGCGCCGACTATTTACGTTCTGTATGTTGGCTGTCATTCTCTCAATCCCGAGAAAGGTCGGCCCAGGGAGGAAAGCCAGAATCTTAACTGTTTAAGCTAATCCTGAACTGTCTCATTAAGAAATTAAAATTAATTAATTGGGATAATTATTATAATATATAGTTTTTATTTATATTCGAAAGCTTATGTCTGAGATTACATGGTCCAAAGGTCGGCTAATTAAGTTATAGAAGAATCTGCAAAAACCGCCATTTCTGATTTGTCGGTTTGTGGCAATATTTAAAGAGCATATTATAAAGCACATTTTGGGTTTAATTAATTAATAAATGGTTTGACTTCACTGATAAAATAATGGGGAATTATAGTGCAATGGACATGGTGTCTTAAGCGAAGAAGGTTTGACATGATGTGCCACGTGTATGACAGTTCAAGACCAACTATATGATTAAGAGGAGTTTATTGCTTGAAGCTTAAAAAATGGTGTGTTTTGGGAGATGTATTTAAGGAGGAGGAGTGACAGTGAGTGAGTTTTTATGTTTATGTTTAATGTTAATGTACATTTGCACTGAACCTTGCCTTCTGGGAACCTGTTTCTGACAGTTCAAAACCAGCTGATGGCCGGTGAGTTAATAACCTCATTTCTCAACTTGTTTTTATTTTATTTTCACCATTATTAATTCGACATACCTTTTCTGTATAAGTTATACGATAAATTTGTGATAGCGTTTGTAGC